GATTTAAGGTTTTCTATAAAACAGATACAAAATAAAAAATTAACGCGTTAACGAGAACTTATAATGGTAAGGAGGTTTATGAACATAATCATCAGTTATTATTTATAAAATTTTCTTTTAGGTATTGATTTTTTCTTAGAGTGATGAATGTAGATCGTAATTTCATTTAGAGACTAGAAGTTCAAAGTTCGAAACCAGTAGCTACATAATTTCTTTTTTAGTTTCTTTTTTTGGGAAACGTAAAAGATTATGTGATCATACCACCTTATATCTAGATTTGTGATGTACAGTTTTCTTTTACCATAGCGGCAAATCAGCAACTTTGTTTGCTTTCTTTTTTCATAACTTTGCTTGGTTTTGATCAAATATTAGTGAGAGAATTATATTAAGTGTGATAATAATTTTTATCAAAGCTTCATTTGACACCAACATGTTATTTTGTTATGTTATGACGGCTTTAGTATCATTTTGAGTTTTTTAAGTTAATTAATAATATTATTGAGTACTATATTTATTGTTTATACGCCTCAAAAATGCATTCACCTTGGAGAATTATCTTATTGACAAAACAATATTCATGTATCTGTATGATCTTTAAACAACCAAGTAAAAGGGATAGAATTTTGGTGCACATCAACCTCCTTTAGTTACGGTTTGCACAAATCTCAAGAGCTATAGTAAGAGATTTTCAATAGCTCGCAAATTTAGTGGACTATATCTCATTGGTTTTAACCTCGATTTTAAATGGGTTAGAAAAACCATGTTAATTGAAACTTGCCAAAGAAAAGTTGATGAAGATTATGATGAGTAATTTTATAAGAATTGTACAACAACATCAAAGACAATAATAGTTAGATAACAATCTACCCCTACTCTTATATTGTTTGTAACTTCAAGTTCGTTCGTTAGAGAGAAAACAGTTACCCACTAAAATATAAAGCTTTTAACCACATAATGTATCTAAATTGTTGTAGTTTTCTAGATTCGGGATTAGTTGTGAGTTGTAGACAACATTTTTTTAATCTAAATTTATTGTTATGTATCGCGAGGAAGCTACATTTCTGGAATTTCTATTGAGAAAGTAGTCAAAGATAGTGCAAAAAATGAGAGAACCTTCGCCGCCTTATACCATACAAACTGAGAGCATGAAGTTAAATTTGCATATCAAGCTCACCAATTACGACATCACGAACCCCATAAGTGGCAATTTTGAAGATAATAAAGAATGAAGAAGAGGAATATCAGACAAAGTTCAGGACATGTACCGGGTAAATTTAAGTTATTGAAAATTGAATTTGTCACAATTCAAGAAAATTTGCCATTAACTTTTTGCATTCAGTGAAATGCATGAGAAGAAGGAAGAGTATGGTACTAGCATAGGTAGTGATGGAGGTAATGATGTTGTATGAGGTGACATCGTATTATCGTGAAAAGATATTTCACATTTCCAAACATTTTACCATTAAAATTTTGGTTTTCAATGAAATGCACGATAAGAAGGAAGAGAAGTGTTGATGGTGAATATGAAGTTTTGTTAATGAAGATGAAGTTGTGTGGAGAAGTTACTTCTGATGGTGGACTAATCAGGATAAAACCCAAAAAGAAATTTGCATTAATTTCTAACACCAAAGTGTAAACTGAAGTGCGATTTGAATGCAAGTTTGTAATAATTGGTTACCTGGAAGACTTTTGAATATTAAGTTTGTGTTATTTACTTTTGACAATGACTTTTGTCAATGAATGATCAAGATGTTGTAGAACTTATAATGAGTGTTGTTTTTATTATATTTTTAGTAATTGAATAATTTGAATTCTTTCATGGTACCAAATAAATCATTCGAGTTTCATCCGGCCCAGTGCAGTCAAAATCGTGCATTAAAATGTAAAAACTTACGTTTTTACGTATCCAGGCCACCAAAACGTTTCAGTTTCTACCTAAAGTCGCTTAGTCACAAAAACTGGTAAAAAACATGGGTAAAATCGATAAAATCGCTTAAAATCGGTAAAATCGCGATTCTGAAGCGTTTTTATATGATTTTGATCATCTCATAAAAATGTGTTAATTGGCGCAAAATGATTTAATTTTGGAGACATATCAGCAAAAAATAAAATAAAAAGGAAAACATGATTCATCACTCGTTCTACAACTAGTGTCGAAATAGGGGCTTCACATTAGGTCGAAAAGACACCTAATGGTATTCTCAACAACCGCTGACCTTCTATCAGTCTTCTCCCTTAATCTTCACGTGTGGCTCTTTCCTGGGTTACGATGAAAGTTTATGGGTAATTGATCGTATGTAATTATGTAAACTCAAACCAGCTTATGAGAATTTGGATTCTCAAGCTCGTTTACGGGTTACGATCTACGTTTATGAGCTTATTATTAAGATGTTATGAGTTTTCTCTACTTTTGAGTCAACGCAAATTAGTTTATGTGTTAGATATTACATTTTAATTATAAATTTCATGTAGTTATCCACTTATCTAAAATCTACACACTCACATTTTACATACTATATGTTGTACTTAACATATTTTAGCTATTTTAGAGAGTGCGTCAAAAACTTACGATTTTACGCTTTGATTCTAAGTTTTACGATTTTACCCATTTTCCGCTTCTAGATAGAATCGCGCTTTTAACTACATTGATCCGGCCAACGAACGGGCCCGGTGTTAGTTGTTTGTACCATCTAGCTCGAGGTATGAACAATGATATTTGTTGGTGTGGAGTTGACTCACGATCCGTTCGTCTGATCTCGCCGGGAGGGAAGAAACATGTGGAAGAGCCGGGGTTGCCCCCCGATTAAACTCCGACGATCAAGTCATTTTATGTATCAGGTGAGAGTTGAGAGAACAAGGTAGAGAGATAGTGGAAAGTGGAAAATGGAAAGTGAGGAGAGATAAGAAGTTCTCTTCCCTTGGAGGGTTTCATACCTTTATATACTCGTAGCGGGTTTCGAGCGTCATACGTTATCGATTGGACGCGCTATTACTTAGTCTGTGCTCGGAGTATCTTAGTAACACCCCCAACAATTGCCCCCCCCCCCCCCAAGCTGGTGGTGAGTTTTAACTCATCACTAGCTTATTATTTATTTTTTAAATCTTCGTCGGTAATTTTGGATCGAGCCCTATGTACCCCCAGTTGCCCCCCAGGCGTTTGGCTGACGCGGTGCAAGCTTCTTGCGTCATGCCCCCCCCCCCCCCAGTTGGTGTATTTCATTAAGCCGTTGAGTGCTCTTCTATTGGAATCCCCAAGGCGCTAAGCAATTGCTTGTTGAAAATTTTCCAAGGTATTGAGCACTCTCCTATTAAAGTTCTTCACACACACACACAAGTGTGTACTCTTTCATTGGTGTGCTTGTGACAGCCGCACGATTACGTTACGGGCTTACCGCGCACGTTTAGTGCCCTTTATTGGAGATAGAGGTAGTTGAACATTCTCATATTGTCGATTCACCGATGCCCTTATTGAAGCCTTATTTGTGTGCTTCAGTCGAGACTTATTTGTAGATTCACCGATGCTCTTATTGAAGTATTATTTGTGTGCTTCGTTGAGACTTATTTGTAGATTCACTGATGCTCTTATTGAAGTCTTATTTGTGTGCTTCGTTGAGACTTATTTGTAGATTCACCGTTGCTCTTATTGAAGTCTTATTTGTGTGCTTCGTTGAGACTTATTTGTAGATTCACCGATGCTCTTATTGAAGTCTTATGTAACACCCTAACCCGGCCGGGTACTACTTTTACTAAAATGCCTTTGATAAATAAAGTACTCAAATCTCAAATTTTAACTGGGGAAAAATTTTAATAAAAAAAATACTGAAAACACATACTTGTAGTTCAAAGCAAAGCCCTAAGATGTGGGAAAATTAAACTCAAACTTTAAAAACTCAACTTGATCTCCAGTCTATACTCATAATCATAAAACATGATAACTAACTAATCTCAAGTGTTGCTGCTTGTGTGAAAAACTCTGACTAGACATCCTCTGTGACGCTCGTACCATCCTCCTCTAGCTAGCTTCACTCGAACTGTTTCTCTCGATCTCCATGCTCTCTAACTGCTCATCTAGCTTCTTCCTCTTCAAACTGGTGAGTGAGTTGGGGTCAGCCTACGCCCTTACGTTCAAAAATTCTTACTGCTTAGTACTTTACCTAAAACACTTACTTAAATTTGTGGAAGTTGTTTGTACTTCCACTCTTAAAATCCCTAACTCTTAAATTGTATGGGAGTTACTGAAACTCTCCACTCTTAAAGCTCAAATCTCGACTTAAATACTTGACTGACACTGGGATCCCTCACTAGCTAGTCCGGTTGCCAACTCATACGTATGAGAAGCCATCGAGGCTTTCCTTAAACTTAAACTTAGTTAGGGAAGTCGTAACGATTCATCCCCCTAACATCTTAAACTTATCGTGGTGGCTCTTCACCACGATTCTCAAGAGCATAACTGCTGCTCATCTTAAAAGTCTCAAGAGCATAACTGCTGCTCTATCTCAAAATGTCTCAAAAGGCAACGGACTGGCGCTAGTGACTAAAAACACTTAAAACGACTTCACCTTCTTGAAGGTGAGTTACTTCTTAAAAAGAGCTAGTTTCTTAACTTTACCAATCACTTATAATTAAAGTAAAGCCTTAAGGTAAATAACACACATTCACTTCAAATAATAGCTCAAACAAAGCACATATCATCAATCATGGGCATAAACAACCATAGCAACACTTTACAAAAATACTGAAAACTCAAATAGTTGAAAGAATACGTAAGGCGTAGAATTTACCCCCTTTACACTCACCTTATTAATCCAGTCGGAAAACTCAAATTGACCTCCATGTTCGATTGGTATTTCTCCGATGAACGAGTGGTCTCTATGAACCCCGCATGTGTGCCTCAATCTTGATGTAACGCTGTCGAACTCTGACTTCTTCTTGCTTTTCTATCCAGCTCGAATTTTACATAAAAGCAACCACCAAAAGTTACTTTTAGATTCCTAATTGGGTAATTCAATTAGATTTTACTAAAGCTTCTTATTCCCCCACTTTAGAACCTCCTCCCACCTTTGCCAACATAAAGCCCTCTTCAATTTTGAAGCTGACCACGTAAATAAATCCATTCACCCATTATAATGGGACGTTCATCATGCAACCCCACCGCCCAGCAATGTTCCACGAGAATGACATTCGTATCCCACTATTTAAGCTTGACAAAGGACGAAATTTCTTACCCCAAGTGCAAGCATCAGTGCTGGCTTATGGTGAGCGATCTTCGTGGCGTGATTGGCACAGCAAAATCCCTTGAGCAGATCTCATCGCCTGGTCTACTCTCTCCCTCTCTTATTTGGCTATCGCCGCCGCTTTAAGATCATTATGTTTACGGCAACTTTCAAGGGAAAACGAAAGGAATTTGTGACCTGGATGGCATCCCTTATCCTTCATTACGTCCAAACATTTCAAAACCTCCATCATTCCTTCAGCACCCATAAGCAAAGTGTAGCGAAAAGTATCATAAGCAGGCACGTTTTCAGGATCCCAGCCAATTCGATTGATCCAAGCCAAGGCGAGCCACAAAAAGTGATCTTCCAATGTCGATGCTGCCTCCCAAGACCAGGCGATTCGCGATGAAGCTTTGGTGGTCGTGGAAGTGGCGCCAGTTGAGCCCATCGTCGTCCAGCCTGCGACACTGCCGCCTTCCTTCACTGCCCTCTACGATCGTCTCACGTCAGGAGTAAGAAGAAGCTTCCGCCGCCGCCGCTGGTGGGGAATAGAAATTGATTGTGGGACTGTGGGAGGGTTTAATTGTGGTGGCTGAGTGGGGAATGGGATTAGTCGAGCTAGGGAAAGGAGTTTGAGCGGCAGGGTTCCTTAATTAGTGAATGGGGACGGTTTCTTGGCGTAGGGGGGAAGGTGATGGGAAAACAATGAGGGTCCTCTTGGCCATTTTTTAATAATAATAATAATTATTATTATTATTCCTAATCCGCGGTTGTAATCCTTAGTACGTAACCGTTAATCCAATCGTTCACGTATTATGGTCGAACCTGAACCCAAAGGTCGGGGTGTAACATTTTCTCCACCATTACAAAAATTTCGTCCCCGAAATTTGCTTGAATCTCATTGCTCATTCTACACCATCTTTGTACTTCCTTGCCTCAAGAATTTACTCTCGCTATATGAACCTTGATGATGTCTGTTGCTTGTCCCATATAGTTTACCTCACCACAAGTTATTTCCTCTTGACCATAAAAGGTATTCTCAACAAGCTCATTAGCATCGAGTAGCTTTGAGTGGCTACTTGCCCTTTTCAAAATTTTCCAACTTGGATCCAGTACTTGATGTTGAACCTATCGAAGTCGAGGTATCACATTTCCTCCCCACTTATATAGAAATTTCGCCCTCGAAATTTTCCCACTGTGATTACCCTAGCATCGCTTGTGGTAATCCTTTTCACTTCGCGGATTTTTATTTCCCTTAACTTATACGACATGACCTACAATCCTTCTCTCCATTCCCTGCAACTTCAATGTTGTTGTGGCTTCTTAACCCCTCACATTATCTCGGTTGCACCTTGTACTTATATAGGGACAATAACTATCCATTGTTTGGTATACGAGACGTTAATGCTCCTCTTGAACCCCAGGGTTACATATGACGGCTTATCCTCTATCCCATCAGATGGTAAAATTCCTTTAACGTAACTCTCGTCCGGAGTTGACCTCATAGGTCACCTAGGTCCTTGTATCTCCTAACTCTGCATCTCTTACTTTCTTCTTCAACTTCTCGTCTTATCCCTTAACCATAAACTGAATGGTCATCTCCTCGTTACTTGTTGCTTAGCGCCAAAGTCTTCATACTACTGCTTTTACTTTCTGTAGGCATTAGAGACATCCTTTGCATTTCTCTCTAGCTTGCGATCAACCTTATGAATCATTTCAAGAATCATGATATTCCCAATGGCTCACTTGCTCACTCCTAGCGCCTAACTTAGCACTTCCTTATAGTTGCTTGAATTTGATGTTCTCGTAATATCCATTCTGCCACTCTTAGACCCTAGCTGAAACTCCTCGTACGGTTTCCCCGTCCAATAAGGTTTTACCCGAGAGATTGACACCTTTTACCAACATAGGCGATCTTGGCTTCACTCTGGGGTACCTTATCAGATTCCCTAAGCTCATATCCATATTACTTCTTTACTCGTGACTCTTCTTCTTGATGTTCCTTGCTAGTTCTAGATGTCCCTCGTCCTTGATGTAGTCATCTTGGTGCCCATATTCTCTTCTCACTTATGTACCTTGACCGATAAGGTTTTCCCTTCGACCGTTCTGGACCACCACACTTCTACTTTAAAGTTGACCAATGAGCTTCTCCGTTCTTGATGGGCTTCCTATAGTCCAACTTATTCTCAACTGGCAATCACCTTAACGCCACCTTGTTGACCTTCGTATTCTTTCGCCGGCTCTTCCTAACTATCTTTCTCCCTGAATTTGTCGTTTTATCAACTACCACCCTTTTCACCATAGCTTTCATTATAGCCTTGTGTTTTCCTCCTACTTCCACAACTCCTTCATCGATGCTTGGTACTAGCTTTGATCTACTCAGTTTAGTAGCTCCTCGCCATACCTCCGAGCCAACATTCCCACTAGAAACTTTCTCTAGGTATACTTGCCAGATGACACCCACGACTTCTACTCATGATGGTGCTTGACCACGTCCCAACTATCTTCCTTCACGCATTCATTGTCCAGTCGACAACCACTTTTTTTTCTATAACTTCCCATGGTGTTCTTCTTGCTTCTTTACTTTTACTACCACCAAAATACAACTCTTCTGTTGTTGCTTGTACTATATTTGGTCACCACCCTCTGTTGAGTATTTTCTCGTTGTTGTTTTAGTTCACAACTTCCAATGGTGGCTTGCCCTTGGTATCCTTTAACATAACTCATTCCATGTCTCTTTTGTTGACCGATCTTGTACATAAACTTAGTCTCTTAGTTAGGATTCTTAGTGGCTTAACTAAGCGTGCATGTTTCTTCCTTAACTAGTTGTCTCCTCTGGAGCCCTCCTACTATGTCGCGCCCACTCAGAGTGGGGCACCTTGGATAAGGTAACTTCTCTTTTCCTCCTTCTCGGTAATGCTTTCCCTCATCGTACCTCTTTGTGCAGCTTCTTGACCTCGAGTCACCTGAGACTTGACCCATTGACTTCTTGAAATCTCGTCAAACTCCCTCTGGCCTTTTCGCTCTTCCTTGGTATTGCTCGCATACTCTCCTCATTACGACTGCTTAGACTCTTCCTCGAATTCTCCAACTTTCATTAGAACTTCTAAGGAACGTTGTACTTGCTTGTCTATACCCGGTTGATTGAATGATTTACTCCCACGGCTGGTTCCAAGACTCCCGCTCTTGGCCCTCTAGTTCTCACTTTAGACTTTCCCCATGGATTCCTTGAAATTCCATGATTTTCTGATTCCCCTTGATCAGTGTAATTTTCAGGGTTTCTCAACCCCTTCTCATACCTTGTCCTCTAGTTTGCGCTTGACAGGTGTATAGCATGCCTGATCTAACCTCAACCTCTACACCATTTATCTCTTTGCTTGTCTTGTTCCTTTTTAAAGGCTTGCTATCAGCCGAACACCCCATGGTCATGTACCCTCTTCTCTAATGAGGTAGTTTGTCTATAAGGGTTCCTTAATCGGTATTTGTAAATGACCATACCTCCTTTCCGCCTTGACCTTTTGACTTCTTGACGTCCTTTCACACTCCCTGTAACCTACTTATTTCCTCCTTTAGTTCATTTATACTACTCTAGCTTTTCTTGAAGTCTAAGCTTCCCGCTGCTCCTTGTCACTGTGTTGTAATAGCGTTGACCACTAAAACTAGTTGAGGGACTTCTCGTGGTACCTCTTCGTTTCTTGACTCGCTACTGCTTAGGGTCAAGGACCCTGAAATTCTCTCATCATTATAGCTACTAACATCTAGTGATTGTAGCTCTTTCTTCGGAGATTCATAGTTCTCCTAATTGTTTGTCTTAGCTAAATAAATCATCCACTTGTTTCCTGGTAGTAAAATCCTCGTACTACTCTCCCAACTCCTTCAACATCCTAGAGGTATTCCCTTTCAATTGGAACCTCTTCTATTAGAACTTTAGTTATTTACCTTAATACGATTAGAGTAGACTGGAGATTCTATAAACTCTTAAAAGGAGACCCATGACTCATTTTCCTTTACTTTAAAACAAAACCTTTAAAAACTGAGACCCACGTTCCAGCATTCCTTGGAGACCAAGGAAAAGAGGACGACCGGCTCTGATACCAAAATGTAACACCCTAACCCGGCCGGGTACTACTTTTACTAAAATGCCTTTGATAAATAAAGTACTCAAATCTCAAATTTTAACTGGGGAAAAATTTTAATAAATAAAATACTGAAAACACATACTTGTAGTTCAAAGCAAAGCCCTAAGATGTGGGAAAATTAAACTCAAACTTTAAAAACTCAACTTGATCTCCAGTCTATACTCATAATCATAAAACATGATAACTAACTAATCTCAAGTGTTGCTGCTTGTGTGAAAAACTCTGACTAGACATCATCTGTGACGCTCGTACCGTCCTCCTCTAGCTAGCTTCACTCGAACTGTTTCTCTCGATCTCGATGCTCTCCAATTGCTCCTCTAGCTTCTTCCTCTTCAAACTGGTGAGTGAGTTGGGGTCAGCCTACGCCCTTATGTTCAAAAATTCTTACTGCTTAGTACTTTACCTAAAACACTTACTTAAATTTGTGGAAGTTGTTTGTACTTCCACTCTTAATATCCCTAACTCTTAAATTGTATGGGAGTTACTGATACTCTCCACTCTTAAAGCTCAAATCTCGACTTAAATACTTGACTGACACTGGGATCCCTCACTAGCTAGTCCGGTTGCCAACTCATACGTATGAGAAGCCATCGAGGCTTTCCTTAAACTTAAACTTAGTTAGGGAAGTCGTAACGATTCATCCCCCTAACATCTTAAACTTATCGTGGTGGCTCTTCACCACGATTCTCAAGAGCATAACTGCTGCTCATCTTAAAAGTCTCAAGAGCATAACTGCTGCTCTATCTCAAAATGTCTCAAAAGGCAACGGACTGGCGCTAGTGACTAAAAACACTTAAAACGACTTCACCTTCTTGAAGGTGAGTTACTTCTTAAAAAGAGCTAGTTTCTTAACTTTACCAATCACTTATAATTAAAGTAAAGCCTTAAGGTAAATAACACACATTCACTTCAAATAATAGCTCAAACAAAGCACATATCATCAATCATGGGCATAAACAACCATAGCAACACTTTACAAAAATACTGAAAACTCAAATAGTTGAAAGAATACGTAAGGCGTAGAATTTACCCCCTTTACACTCACCTTATTAATCCAGTCGGAAAACTCAAATTGACCTCCATGTTCGATTGGTATTTCTCCGATGAACGAGTGGTCTCTATGAACCCCGCATGTGTGCCTCAATCTTGATGTAACGCTGTCGAACTCTGACTTCTTCTTGCTTTTCTATCCAGCTCGAATTTTACATAAAAGCAACCACCAAAAGTTACTTTTAGATTCCTAATTGTGTAATTCAATTAGATTTTACTAAAGCTTCTTATTCCCCCACTTTAGAACCTCCTCCCACCTTTGCCAACATAAAGCCCTCTTCAATTTTGAAGCTGACCACGTAAATAAATCCATTCACCCATTATAATGGGACGTTCATCATGCAACCCCACCGCCCAGCAATGTTCCACGAGAATGACATTCGTATCCCACTATTTAAGCTTGACAAAGGACGAAATTTCTTACCCCAAGTGCAAGCATCGGTGCTGGCTTATGGTGAGCGATCTTCGTGGCGTGATTGGCACAGCAAAATCCCTTGAGCAGATCTCATCGCCTGGTCTACTCTCTCCCTCTCTTATTTGGCTATCGCCGCCGCTTTAAGATCATTATGTTTACGGCAACTTTCAAGGGAAAACGAAAGGAATTTGTGACCTGGATGGCATCCCTTATCCTTCATTATGTCCAAACATTTCAAAACCTCCATCATTCCTTCAGCACCCATAAGCAAAGTGTAGCGAAAAGTATCATAAGCAGGCACGTTTTCAGGATCCCAGCCAATTCGATTGATCCAAGCCAAGGCGAGCCACAAAAAGTGATCTTCCAATGTCGATGCTGCCTCCCAAGACCAGGCGATTCGCGATGAAGCTTTGGTGGTCGTGGAAGTGGCGCCAGTTGAGCCCATCGTCTTCCAGCCTGCGACACCGCCGCCTTCCTTCGCTGCCCTCTACGATCGTCTCACGTCGGGAGTAAGAAGAAGCTTCCGCCGCCGCCGCTGGTGGGGAATAGAAATTGATCGTGGGACTGTGGGAGGGTTTAATTGTGGAGGCTGAGTGGGGAATGGGATTAGTCGAGCTAGGGAAAGGAGTTTGAGCGGCAGGGTTCCTTAATTAGTGAATGGGGAAGGTTTTTTTTGGCGTAGGGGGGAAGGTGATGGGAAAACAATGAGGGTCCTCTTGGCCATTTTTTAATAATAAGAATTATTATTATTATTATTATTATTCCTAATCCGCGGTTGTAATCCTTAGTACGTAACCGTTAATCCAACCGTTCACGTATTATGGTCGAACCTGAACCCAAAGGTCGGGGTGTAACATCTTATTTGTGTGTTTCGTTGAGACTTATTTGTAGATTCACTGATGCTCTTATTGAAGTCTTATTTGTGTGCTTCGTTGAGACTTATTTGTAGATTCACCGATGCTCTTATTGAAGCCTTATTTGTATGCTTCGTTGAGACTTATTTGTAGATTCACCGATGCTCTTATTGAAGCCTTATTTGTATGCTTCGTTGAGACTTATTTGTAGATTCACCATGGCATTGACTAGTCGAGGCATGGGCCGTGATAATATGTCGCTTTATTGAGTTTCTCATCTCCCATATTGTTTGGTACATCGTTGCCCCCAATAGGGTTCACGATTGTCCAATATTTAAAATAAAAGTAAGAATTTAAGAGTGGTAGAATACTTAGCTTTATGTTGGAGATGAGACGCTTTAATTTAAGCGTTGCGTTAACGGATCACATGTTGACTATCGTGCGTGAGGAAACCCGGGTCCATCTATTTTAGTGGGCCTGAGGCGGGCTCCTCGGCCCGCGAGAGGAGGAACTGAGCGGGGAACGGGCGCGTCATCAGCGTGAGGTGAGCCACGGGTTGTGTTGCGGATCGGGCCAAGTGACGCGACACTAATGATGGGGCGGGCTTTGCGGTATGGGCACCGAGTCTTGAGACCTGTACCCTAGTTGTGTACGTCTCCTTCTATCTTCACTTCTTCGTTTTTCGCTGTTGTTTTTTTTGTTTTTTTTTTTGTTTTATCGGAAGCTGCTATAGCCTTCCGCCGCATCATTCTCCCTCGTCTCTCCTTCTTCCTTTCCGCGCAACCCAACCTCCTAATCTCCTCCTCTCTGAATTATCCTTACCCTTCTGTACTTGTCGGCGTCGGGGTAGAAGATGGATGGGCATAGAATCACTCGCGTTGGCTGATGCTTCCGCGCTCGTAAATTCGGTCGGAGATGGGTTGGGCGATTTTACATATGGCCGCGTTCCGCCTGTATGTGAGTGGCCTCTTCTATTCGGAGCCGCTTCTATCCTGGCATCCACTTGCGAGAAGGCTATGTTGGGAACTCCACCTACTTTATTGGGAACTCAACAACGTCTGTCACCCTGACAGAGTGATTGTGACAATAATCAGTTTTTTCTCACTTTTGCGGGTGTGTATTGTGGTGGCAATGCAGTCTGCTTTTCCAAAAAATTTTGGGAAAGACAGTGATGATTTGACAACAGGACTTCTTTTTTTTTCCTTCGCCTGAGCTTCGGCGCCGCTTGCAGCTCCGGTCACCGGAATCTAATAACAATATTTTTTTTTTGTTTTGTAGGTGACTCCGGGTGACGGCGGTGAGTTTTGCCGGCAGAGGCTAGCGACTGGGACAACCTCCGGTGGCTTGGGTGGATTGGAGATACAGGATTGGCGAAAACGGCACTACAACGGGGATGAAAACAGTTGATGCTGGTGGCTCTCGATCTCTATCCTTCTTTCCCTTGTTTGCAGATCTGTAAAGACCTAGAGCGTCGGCGTCGGCAGAGATGAAAATAGTACAACCGCCGAACAACTGGTCTATTGCTCTTCGTCGACTTGCCAGGAGCTTGTGTTGCTTGATTTTTCTTCTTATGCCTTTCTTTTCTTCCTCATCGTTCGGGCGTCGGGTTTGGGGATTTCGGAGGAAACACGGTTGAACAAAACGCAGCCGCGGATCCTTTGCTTGTTGTTTCTCCTTTCAGAGATCAAACGAATAGAATCGATGAATCTGCCCCACGATGGGCGCCAATTTTTTGTACCATCTAGCTCGAGGTATGAACAATGATATTTGTTGGTGTGGAGTTGACTCACGATCCGTTCGTCTGATCTTGTCGAGAGGGAAGAAACCTGTGGAAGAGCCGGGGTTGCCCTCCGGATTAAACTCCGACGATCAAGTCATTTTATGTATCAGGTGAGAGTTGAGAGAACAAGGTAGAGAGATAAAGTGTAGAGAGATAGTGGAAAGTGAGGAGAGAGAATAAGTTCCCTTCCCTTGGAGGGTTTCATACCTTTATATACTCGTAGCGGGTTTCGAGTGTCATACGTTATTGATTGGACGCGCTATTACTTAGTCTGTGCTCGGAGTATCTTAGTAACACCCCCATCACTAGTAATGAACAAGAAGATGTATTATAAGGGAGAAAAAATTATTTGTGTTTATCTCGAGAGATTCCTGCTCGCCAAAAAGGATTTTTGTTTATTTTAAGGAAAACAAATCAGATTGGAAATCAAATTACCGCCAAACCAAAAACCAAGCCCGCCAAGAGGGATGAGATATAAGGATATTTTTGTTTTCCTTCGTATTATTCTGCGGGACGGAAAATAGGTTCATTTCGCAAACCAAAGAAATAAATTACACGGTTTGACCACCAACTCGCTACCTTGCACCGACGATCCAGCGGGTGTGTGAGACCCGTTTTTCTCACCGAGTCGGGATCAAAGTGAGTCAATTGACAGGTCGACCCATGGATTGACAACCTTGCTGGCGACAGAAAATAATTTAAGTTTTTTTTATACCTTTTTTAGAGAATAGATGCTTGGAAAGTGAAAATGTAAGAATAAGAAAAGCAACAAATTAGCGGATGCACCAGTAGAACCACTAAATAAGTTATAATAGCGGTTTGGTTTATTTGTTAAAATGGTTAGGAATTTTTAACGGTTTGACATGAAACTAGATGAATCACTCTGGTTTGACTGATCCACTATTTTAACTACAAAAAAATTAAGAAAAAAAACATGAACACAAATTAAGATCATCCAAACTGAATTACTAATTTCATTTATGCTTCATTTTCTTCATTTTCAAACTTATCATCAGCTTTATTCAGTCCACTACGGACTATCACCCTAATTACTAACTTTAAATCATGAGTTGGATTTGAAATTGTTTTAATTAGTGAGAAAATTAGTCATAAATTATGTATTATATGTCTTTTATGTTATAGCATATAAATTATTTTGACCCTAGCCTGATGAGAAAAATGGGTCGTACATACCCTTTGGGTTGACGTGCTGCAAGGTTACCAGGTTGGAGGTCATATAGTATTATTTTTTATTTGATTTGCGAAATGTGCCTATTTTCCGTTTTTCCTTTTCGTCTACTCTTGTGTTTGGAATTTTTAAGTTGAACATTTGAATATTGATGTTATTTAAGTGTGTGTTAATTTTTTACTATATGTTGGATCCAAATACGACATTTTGTTTTGGTATAATGTTATATGTTATTGTTCATATGTTAGTGAAATTTGATATAATTTATAAATGTATGAACTATATAATAATATTTTCATATATTTGGTTAAATCAAGCTAAAAAGGTCGGATAATTAACCCCTATCTCACTTGCTCGATCGGTCAAACCGGCTAAACCAAGTTAACAACCTTCCTATACCCCTACCCATGCACGAAGCAGTTTTTTCTCTTACAGAAGCAAATATTACAATTTAGTAAAAAAAAAAACACTTATTTATAATGTAGCCACCATAATAAACATAAAAAAAATCAAGTTATCGAATTAACAGCTCAACTAGTAGAACCAGTAAACCACTTACAATAGCAATTATGTTCATTGTTTGAATGGCTAACTAGGGATGGACCAAATAATTTTAAACGCTTCACATGGACCAAACCATCCGATTTGAGTGGTCCATTATTCTAACTACTGAAAATTAAATTTTATTTTGTGAGATAGTTTGAATGATTTATTAGTATCTTTGGTGGTGGATGATATAAATTTGAAATTATTTATAGATAGTGATTATTTCAATAATAAGTTGGTGTATTATATATGTGTTTTATGTTATAGCACATGAACGGTTTTATCTATAGTTAACTTTTTTGTAAAATTTAATCACTCAACAACAAACCATTATTTTTTTGATTCATCATCCTGCCCGGTTCTGAAAACAGAAAAAAAATCATACCCACATTCCAACATTTAAGAGGAAAACAATAGAAAATAATAGAAAAGGAAAACCGAAACCCACCTACCACTCAAATTCTCCAAAGGGTAATAGAAAAAAGGACATTAGGGAAAAAATGTTGTGTTTCGCATTTATCATAACTAGTATCTTTGCCCGCGCCTCCGGGATCTTAGTTAAAAAACAAATTAATACATAGTGGTTCTGGATCTCTTGTGATATATTATGCTCAACAGTATGATAGAACTTGTGAAACTGGTTCATGCTCTACTGTTGCAGGAATGATGACTGTAAAAGCAAAGAATTATGATGAAGTTGCAGGAAAGCACGCTTGATTTCATTAAAAGCCGCAGTCTTGAATGTTGTGATGGTTAATTAATTTAACAAATTGTTTACTTACACAAATACTTAGAACTGAAGTTTTTTCTTCCTGGGAAATTACTAATACCTATCATATTCAGTACTAACTGAAGGGGAAAAAAAACATACATGAAAGCCTATATGATTCGATGAGCATCCAAGTTTAGAAAGAGGTATCGTTTGATAATTAACATTACATTATTATCCATCCACAAAAGAATATATACAACATTAAATAGATAAACTACATCTAAGAAACAGACAACAAAATCGATATAATCTTTAACCACACATCAGTGATAAAACCATATAGCTTGGCAAAGAACATTTACAAATTACAACTTGACAACCAACCAAAAGTATTTCCAAGAATAGCCTGGGTATACGAATGTCATTGGATAGAGAATAAACAATAATGGCCTGGGTATACGAAGAGGAGCAGAGAGATTCCATGAAAACACCACAAAAGCAAAGATTAACTATCAGAAGGAAGATGAGAGAATTTCAGGAGCAGACCACTTACATTGATTCTCAAATACAAAAACCTCTGGCGAGGTCCCACTTCCCTTTCAATGGGAGCAAACCAGAACTCTGCATAGTGGGATAATAGAAGGTGAAGCAAAACGAAAGAATGGAACCCATTAGGCTCCTTGTAACCTTGGGACTTCCTTTAGCCACACCATCACCAACGAAACCCATTTAAGCGCAAGCAAGCAAACCCATCGAGGTGTGCAAACTGCATACCAATCAAGATCGATACGAAATAAGAGAGCTTGAAAGAAGAAACAGTAAGAAAGGGAGATAGACCAATTCATCAAACAGAGAATCATGGGTTCTCATCCATGCAGTCACCTGGTCTTACTGGCTTCTAGTTAGAACTCGTTGACGACATCTCCCCTGAAAAAGCTATCAAACAAACCCTTAGGAGGAAGAAAGAGAGAACGAACTCATCCCAAAAGAGGGTAAAAGAACACATCACTGGCAGAAAGAACAATACCTGCGGACCTGGATCTCCTCGCAATCATCTCTAGACCTCAACATAGAGATTGAGAAAACAGTCCGGTCCTTGAACAACGAATGATATGAAGCCTTTACATATTTGCTTTGTAGTCCCCGGGTCCTCATTGCATCACTTGAACTGAATGAAAACAAAAATTAGAACCACAAAAGACCTCATATCAGAACCTAGGAGAACTAAGATAGAAGTACCTGTGATTCTCGGGATTCTTGCGATTCATCACCACCGGAGATGCTCAGCGGGGCTCCGGTGTCTGGCCGCATCGACGGTGTTGAGAGAAAAGAGGGAGAGAGAAGAAGAGAAATACGAAAGAGAGATTGAGTAGTCTTGGTTGTTGTGGAGAGACGCACAGGGAGAAAAGAGCCACCTGTAAGAGGGGGCTTCATTGGACACTACGCCGGGTAGGTAAAATAAGTACCAAAATCAAATAGCTAATAGCTCTACGTGGCTCTAAAATCCACCTCTACCTTTTCTGTTCTCCTGCTCAAGACTGCTTTATGGCTTAACCGGGGCCATTAAAAACCGAGAAGCAAAGGTTTAGCTATAGTTACCTTCACCCATTCTCTATGGAGCAAGGTTGTCAAACCGGTTTATGCCGGTGCGCCGATTTTATGAGTGAAATGGTTCAATCGTGGTACAACCAGTTCGTATGCCGGTTACGCCGGTTTTACCAAAATATCCCAAACAAAATCCATTGTTGGAAACTCCATAATTACACATGCGCACTCCCTAATCCCTCTCGCAGCAAGAATGGAAACTCCATATTCCCATCTCAATTTCCGCCTGACTCACCTCCGAATCATCGACCTCAAATCCAACCCGCTCTCCCTTTTTCCCTACTCTCTCTCCTCGCCTTTACCTTCTGGATCTCTTGGCTTGCATCGCCACCGACAACTCTAGGATTAGGGATCACGAGGAAGTAGAAAGACAGAGCTGCCAAATCCGCCCCGCCTTCCGATCTCACTGGGCCTTCCTACTGCAGAGTTAGTCGCGACCTGTCTGACCGTCGATTTCTCTAGGATTGAGTTAGCGATCGACGACTGAATGGAAGGAAGAGTTGGGTCTGACTCGCGAAACGTCCCCAGAACTCCATCCAAACGATGACGTTTTTGAAATTCCGAAATCAAAATTCCGGTTGGACCACCCGGCATTTTCGGTTTTGACCGAAATTGACCGGTATTGACCAAGGCATCATACCGGTGGCATTCCAGCCGGTTTCATGACCGGTACCGGTTGAACCTGGTTTAACCGGCCGGCATGCCACTGGCGTGACAACCATGCTATGGAGTGAGGATGCACAGTCTCCCAAGAGCCCTCAAAAATCAAGAAAGCAAAAGAATAAAAAATAGATATATTCAGTCTCCAGCGACTCCCAACGTCTCTGCAGTGAAAGGAAGAAGACAATGACTTGTCTCCACCAGCAACCCTCCCTTCCTCTCCCAATCTCTGCAACGAAATCAACAAAGCAAAATCCGGTCTGACAAAGAAACTCAAAGATACACTGTGACCAACGCAAAGATCACTATGATCAAGGTTGTCAAACCGGTTTATGCCAGTGTGCCGGTTTAGCAAGTGAAATGGTTCAATCGGTGGCACATACCAGTTTGTGCTGGTTCATGCCAGTCAATATTACAAATAAAATTATAAATACTCATATTTAAACATGACATTTATCGTCAATACCTATGCATTTATACTTGAATCCAACAAATAACATCAATATTTAACTTTTATACTCATAAAATAAATTTTATTAATTAAATTCTCTAAAATAAAGTTATTTTACTAAGAGATTCGTATATCGATCATGCCGGTTATACCGGTGGTGTCACGCTGGGTACCGGTTGAACCCGGTACAACCGGTGGCACGCCGGCCGGCGTAACAACCATGCTATGATCACACCAAACAAAAGCAACGAAACTATAAGATGGGGGGCCGGAACAAGTTGCTAAAAAAAATATGTCTCTCTCTTACTTCTCTCTAACGGATCTTTCCTTTGAACCGTTCAACGGTCCTTTTCCTGTCCCGTTCCTTGGGACTCCTTCTGCTCAATCCAAGAGCCAACTGTGGATCTTCAATGCCACCGGCAAAGAACACTATGTTGTTGCTGTTACCCATCAAGAAGGAGAGAGGCGCTTTCTCTCTTTACTTTTCAAAAGAAATCCCACGATGGGACTACACAAGAGAGGCAGAGTACTTGAACAAGAAGGGGAGTTATGGAAACCAGCAGATGAAGGGAGGTATGGCAGTAGATGGCATATCAAATGGAAGACAAGAGGGGAGAATATGGGAGGATTGCTGGACAGATTTTCTTCTGGAGACTCTAAGCCTAGCCTAAGGCAGAGGGAAGGGAACATAGAGCCTAGAGCCAAGAGCCACTGGAATGGCAGAAGAAAAGCAAAGGAAGATTCATCTCAGCCAGTAGAGGAATTATGAAGTTGTTGACAAGAAAGATACCAACCACAATCAAGAGGGAAGAGAGAATCATCTCCAGAAGGGAAGCAATAAAGGGAGGAGTCCAGAAAATGGAAGAGTCATCACCTTTTCTACTTCCTCGAATCTCTACTCCCACAGTTATTGGCTCACCAAAAACCAGACCCCTCCTGAGTATAGTACCCTTCCAAAGCCTGCTCAATCCCTCAATAACCCTATGGAAGTCAACAACATGGCAACAAATAGGCATGCGACTGGAAGCATCATCCCCTCATCTTCAAGAGGCAGAGGAGGCCACCCAATCCTCACATCCACGGGTGGCCGAGGTATCTCAATGTTGCTGGGGAAGATGCTGACAAAGAACAAAGTGGTGGTTGCAAAAGCAGCAGGGGCAGCTCGATATGCATGGGGAAACTATGGAGAGGTGAACATCCAGCCCACAGAAACTGCAAACCTATTCATATTCACATTCAACAACATGGAGACAAGGGATAAAGTCTGGAGGGATAGGCCATGGAGCTTATCCAACACGCTCACTGCGATCGAAAAGTATAGTGGGCGAGGGAAACCAGAAGACATACCAATCGAGAAGGTTTCAATGTGGGTGCAGATCCATGGCTTGCATCAGAATCAAAGGAACGTGCAGAATATGGAGGCCATTGGCTCCTCCTATTTCCTGGAACTTCTTGATCTGGACAGAGCCAGCCTTGACTTTGCTGGTTACCGGAGGTTTCTGAGAATTTTGGTGGAGGTTGACCTCAGGGAACTAGTCGCAACTGGCATATGTATTATCTTCCTCTAAATATATACAGAGGCAAATAATAGACTTATAGAGACAAAATCTCTTAGCCACTACATATGGGTTTTGTTGTAGTGTCCCTAAGATTGATAGAAGGGTTAGAAGAATCGTTACCTCCGTCCTAGATGCCGATCACTGCTTGGGCGACGATATTCTTGGCAGACATCTTGAAAGCAAAACACACGATCGGCGACAAGAACGATAATCGAAAGCGAAGAAGAGGCAACGAGCAACGAAGAAAGAGTATAAACAAGAAAGAAATTTTCTGTTTTTGGCTAGCAAAGGGTGTTGAACCCACTCCCAACCCGATGTCCCTTTATATAGCAAGAAAGGAAAGCTCAACCGTGGTATGACTCCTTGTAAATCGTAACGAGTCGGTCTGAGGGGCTCAGATACGGTGCATAACCCATGGTTATGCACCAATCATTAACTAAATCTGGACACTTCCTTTTAAGTGGGTTCAAAAAATCCAGATCTAGGGATGCGAATTAAATGCATTTTTATTTTTCCTTGTTTTCTTAATCAACTCATATCTTCTTCGTTTTAACTTGAATTTCAATTTTTTTTTTGCACAGATGGAACGAGTTTGTTGTGCTCTACAAAATAAGATCCATTTTCAATATTTTTTGAATTTTTTTTTATTGTCTCTCGTTACCAACTACATACCATATAGTATCTTCTTTGTTTTTAAGTCATTTTTTAAAAATTTTGCACAGAAGGAATGAGTTCATCATGATCCATTGCATCTACAAATTTCAGGGTGAACAAAATACATAACCAAAAATACCACCCTGGTACGGGGTGGTATCTTATGGTAGGCAATGTTGAAAGTCGTAAATGACACTCCTACTATCATGTACTCAAGCATCTTACAGTCTTGGTATGTTCATACCACCATGATACGCTTTATACCATATGGTATGCTCTTATTTCAATACTAGTCAATACCATATGATATAAACTGGTAATAAATGGCGCAAATTTTTTTTGTACCAAAAATATTTCAAAGTGGATATAATTTTGAAGAACACAATTAATATGATCTAACTGTGCAAAAATATTTAAATTTCGACTTAAAACGAATGAGAAATCGTTCGTTAAAGATGAAGGAGAAAAAATTAAAGGCTTTACAGGAGAGTGAAGGGGCACTGATATGACGGATGATGATTGAGTTATGCATGGTTACTGACCGGGTTCGCTCCCGGTCCGAGGGGATGAGATACGGTAACAACCCCTAAGGTCGTTGTGAGATTGACAACCAAGGGTATTTTGGGTATGAAAAAAACGAATTATTAATTAATTTTTTTATTAACTACAGATTGAGAATTAAAAACCCATATTAAATACATGTTTTTGTAAATTTTGAATCCTACAATAAATACAACTCTCTCTTTCTATCTCTCTCATCATTTTCAAGCACCACTCCACTCGACTGTCAGACTTTCTCCGGTAAGATCCTTGAATATGAATCGTTCTGGCCACCTATAAAAAATTAACACTCTGTCATTACGTTAGTGGTACGTACCACTACCACTGGTACCGGGTAGTGGTAGCGTACCACTATCATTTGGTACCACTACCATCTGGTAGCTGGTAGTGATATCGTACCACTACCAACACCAGGTAACATAGGGTATTGGTACCAAATGATAGTAATAGCGTGCCACTACCAGCTACCACTCCATATAGTTCCACTACCAGTAAAAAATAAGTACCAATACCAGTAGAAAATCAGTATCACTAGAAAAAACAAGATATGAAAATCCTAAAATCACAGATATGAAAAACGAAGAGGAGGAGAGGAGAGGAGGCACAAAGAGGCAGAGGGGCTCACACCGGAAGAGGTAAGGAGAGGAGGCACAACGGTGGCGATAGAGAGCTGGCAACGACCTGCATACTTGCTCTGACATTCTCGTCTTGTCACATTAAATGCTCACCTAACTAATGGGCTACAAATACAACATTTACTTCACTTGAATTGAGAAGGGGGGTTTCCTTTCTCACTCTAGTCATTCACTCTATCTCCTCCATTCCAAAATCACCCCCTCTTCTTATCGTTGTACATCTCCCTCATTGAGTACAAGCATTCTGATCTCTTTCATAATCATGTACGACTCCTACTCAACAGCCTTAGACAAACACAAGTATAACCATTTGGGTCTACAATGTTAATTGTTATTTTGTTTATATGTATTTTATTTATATATGAATGTAGATTGTATTTCAATATGTCTTTATATATGATTATTAAATTCATTTTATATTATTGATTTTTTTTTTACATTTTTTATAAGCTGATATAATAAACTAGTTACATTCCGATAGGACCATACGACTTCCTAAACCGATTTGACTGTCTTGCTACACCCATTCACTTTCTCTCCCCAAAATACTCCATTTATTCTATGGTTTTCTTCTTTTGGCAGAGAATCTGCCTCTCTTTAGGAACCGTAGGCTTGAGCCCAACCAAACCAACTTAAAGCATCCTAGGAGCTCCAATCAAATATAATTCTTATTGAATAGTAAACATAATTTATATGGTAAAGACTAGCGTACGTTGTACGGTTGTGTTCACACTTGGTTTTTGCCCTTCAATATATTTCGTTGAATCAGAACCATCGGTTATTATTTTTTAGAATAAATTAATCTTGTGACTTGGGTTAGAGAATTGGGGATAACAGTTCACCCATTAGAGGTTAGGGTATAATATCATGCTCCAAACTCCGATTAATTTGTGCTCTAGATAGTAAAACTCGACGGGCGTACAATGTACTTCTGACGTACGCTAGTCTGAATTATATATATATATCTTATTAGACTAATGTTACCAGTTAGAGTTCAAAATTCGATGTCTTATTGCTACTCCTCAATGCACTAAAAAAAGCGAGTGCATTGAAGAGTTTTGCTCTATCTTTCTTGGAACCTTAATTTCTAATATCTTTGAAAAAATCTAAGCACTTTGGGTATAAGTTGTCCTCAATGAAAAATCTCATCACTTTAACTAGAAGTCCCATTTAGGAATACTCACGAATGATCGTTAGAAAAGAAAATGGGGATGGGATTTTATAAAATAATTGCATCTTCCCGTGAATGCTAGTTTATGCTTCTTTATTTTATTCGACTTTAACAAAATAACATAACAAATAGGCGGATTCTACAGTGTTGGGCCGCCACTAGTGCCGCCAGCCTTATAGCAGCTGGATTTCCGGTCCAAGATAGGGTGAATAACCCATGGTTATGCATCCGTCAGTAACCCAACAGGAGCCGTCCATCTGGAGCGGGAAGATCTAACAGCTGGGGTCGGAGCGGGGTGGGGCAGGGGTATTTTTGTGCATTATTTGAATTTATGTCTTTCCCTCTTTCTTCCTTTTTGGTTTATCCTCGGCCGAGCTGGAATTGGATTCATGAGAGAGAATGAGAAGTAAACAGAGCAATCGAGAGTTTTTCTCCGAAGGATTACTCGATGGCGAGAAGGTTGGTGGAGGACGCGATTCTTAGCTTAATCGGCGGCGGACTTGCGAGTTATAGTTGTTAGAAGGTCGGTGGAGGACACGATTCTTAGCTTAATCTTCTCTTTTCTTCTTTTTGCTCGAGGTTTTGGCTCGATTTTGCTTGTGTTGAAGTTTCTGCTGGCTGCTGTTTGGTCTCCGTCGAGGTAATTTATAGTGATAGTAGTATTTTACGTTTTCGCATTGATTCCGTTATGTAATTTGTTTTTGATTTTGTGTATATATGATTTATCTGCGTTTTCTCTTTTTGTGCTCTCTATTTTCTGTTTTTTGTGATCTGTTTGTATAAGTTTGATCTGTTTGTATAAGTTGTTCAGTTGATTGATCCGTAGTTGAATTTATGTTTTGTGCAGGAATTTTTTGAATCTTCTCTGTTGACTGAGCTTTTTTAGTGCAATGAGTGATCTCAATCAAGGCGTCATTGTTTCTTTGAATGAATCTAATACTGGATCTAGTTCTTCTAATAGTGTTGTTGAATCGGAAGATAAGAATTTTAAATGTGTTTGGTAAGTTGAAGTTTGTATATATGTTATACCATACAGTACCATGTTATACCATACAATACCATACTGGTATTTTATAGTATTTTTGCATATGAGTGTTGTGTTTTATTTGTTGTAAATTTTTTTTATAGTTGTTGTGATTTTATGTTTCTGTATATATGTTATACCATGAAATACTATGTTATACCATGTTATACCATATAGTACCATACTGGTATTTTATGGTATTTTTGTATATGAGTGTTGTGTTTTATTTGTTGTATATTGTTTTTATAGTTGTTGTGATTTATGTTTCTGTATATATGTTATACTATACAATACCATGTTATACCATAAGAAACTATACTGGTATTTGTAGAGTTTTTGAATGTAATAAACTTTATCATATTATACTATGGTGGTATTATATTTTGTACAGAATTAATGTTTCATTCTTTTTATGTTTTAGGTTTTGATGCTATTGATCCTAATGTTCGCAGTTCCTGGAACAATCTTGAGTTCGCTACAACTGATGATGCATATAGATTTTATGTGGATTATGGGAACTATAAAGGTTTTGTGTGAGGATTTACCATCAGTCGGCATGTCCGAAGCTTAATAATGGTTCAAAGGCGGTTTATTATATCAAGTATTGTTGCAATAAGGAAGGCTGGAGGATTGGTAGTGAGAATAATCCTGCTAATCGTGGTTCTATTGATGTGAAGGCTCGTGTTCGTCATGTTCCAGAAATCAGGGGTGGATGTGATGGTGCCTATATTCGAATTAGGTGGTTTAAGCAGTTCAAGTGTTACAAGATTTATAAGTGGTATGATGTGCATAACCATGACATGATTCCTGAGGCTATGCGTCACTACATGAGATCGAATAGAAAAATGGCTCCTGTGTATAAAATGTTGGCAGATGTGAATGATGCTGCTGGTATAGGTGCGACTGCTTCGTATAATGCAATTAGTACAGCTGGTGGTGGTCGGAAGTGTATTGGTTTCACAAG